TGGGTGAGCGTGGTGCTGACAACACCAAGTCAAGGGTTAAGATCCCCTTACCGGTCATCTTTAAAAAAAAAAAAACTTGGGCCCGGCCCGGTGGCGCACTGCTACAGTGCCCCCCTTGGGAAGCACAGCGGCGCTCCCGCCGAGGGTTCGGATCCCACATACAGACCGGTTCCCGCTCACTGGCTGAGCAAGGTGCGGGAGCAACACCGAGGGTTGCGATCCCGTTGTCGGTCCCGGTCCGGTACGGGTGCGACACTGAGGGTTGCGATCCGTTGCCGGTCATGAAAAAAGAAGACAAAAAAGGAAGAAGAAAAAAAACCCCAAAAAACTCAAAGTTGGGGCCGGCCCGGGGGCGCACTGCTACAGTGCGCCGCTTGGGAAGCACAGCGGCGCTCCCGCCGAGGGTTCGGATCCCACATACAGACCGGTTCCCGCTCACTGGCTGAGCAAGGTGCGGGAGCAACACCGAGGGTTGCGATCCCGTTGTCGGTCCCGGTCCGGTACGGGTGCGACACTGAGGGTTGCGATCCGTTGCCGGTCATGAAAAAAGAAGACAAAAAAGGAAGAAGAAAAAAAACCCCAAAAAACTCAAAGTTGAAAATGTTCATATCTTATGACCTATCTGGCTCACTTTTAGGTAGACAGCAATGTTTATCAAACTGCTGGTAGAGACCTACTAGTAGTGAATCATCAAATCAATTCAGCGTGTCTACCCAGAGGGGTTATATATATCCTTAAACTTTAGGCCTTCTCACTTGCAAAGCTTTTTGCAAGGCCTAGTTACTAATTTCGTATTCAGAATTTTGTGTTCTTTTTCTAAAGAGGACCCCCAAGTTGTATTAACCTAATTTCTACAAAACCTGGATTTGCCTCTGAGTGACCAGAATTTTTTTTTTTTAATGATACGGAATAGAAAATATGGCAATGTTTTGTGAAACTTTTGTTTCAGTCTATACAGTGGGTCAGGTTGTAAAAATTTCTTACCAAGGTTTGTGGTTAAACACACACACACACAATTAAAAGTTTAGTGCTGTGTAGAAACCTATGCACATGTGCACAACGAGATAATGCACACATTCAATGCAGCACTGTTTATAAGAGCAAATATTTGGAAACAAACTAAATGACTATCAATATGAGAATAAGTAAATATACTGCAGTATAGGTAAGTAGTGGGATTCTATATAGCTAAAATGATTGAACTAAAGCTACATGTATCAGGCTAGATGACTCATAAACACAATATTAAGTAAAAAGCAAGTTGAAGGTTCCCTAAGGCGTGATATTATTTAGATAAAATTTAAAATAATTTGAAAAACAATATTATGTCTGGTAAGTTTCTATATTATTGTTTCTAGATATAGTCATATAGAAAAACTATTAAAACATGCATGAGGCTCATAAAAAATTCTGGATAGGGGCTGGCAGGGTATTGGTTAGAGCATGGTGCTGATAACACCAAGATCCAGGGTTCAATCCCTGTACCATACAGCAGCCAAATAAAAAAGTTGGGATATTGGTAACTTATGGGGAGGAAGGAGAGAGGGAAGGAATGACATGAGATACATACAGGGCTCCAATTTTACATAAAATTTTCATTTCTTTTTGAAAGAATGGATTTGAGGCAAACAGGAAAAGTGTTGAACAAGGCTGGTTGATGGGTATGGATTTTTGCTCTGTTACTCTGATCCTTTTCTGATTGTATTATATTCTGTATGCTTATTGCTGTAGACATTGGTAATATGTATTATTTCATATTTGTGTAGTGTGGGTGTTTACATACATCACACCACTTAATCCTAATGATGGCCTTATGAAGTGGAACAAATTGTTCTCCCTATTCGAAAAAAATTTATTGAAAGCTGTATTAAGGATTCAGCTGTTCCTTGTTTAGCCTAGATTTGCATGGAAATCCACTGGAGCAGTTTCCTTCAAAGGCAGGTGGCCTGATCCCATCCTGAGTCGCCTCCTTCACCCCCAACTTTGGAAAGGCACTTATTCAATGGGGAAACGAATTATGTAAATAATAGCCAAGTGTCCAAAAAACATTCATTCTGAAGTGTTAGAGGGGACCTCCAAGAATGACTTTGTTGAAATGGATATATACTTCCAAGACAATTCATAGGAAACGCAGGCAGGTTCTCTCCTGGCCGCCACTGGCTCACTCAGCGTCCTTGGACAAATCACTTGACCTTTCACTACTTACATTTACACATCCGTAAACCCAATGTGTAATATTCACGACTGCTCACTCGGAGCTCCTGCCGGACACTTTTTGACAGAGACCGATTTAGAGTCTATTAACACGCAACAATGTCAACTTTTCAATACAAACTACATTCTTTGTCCATTCCTCAAAGACTTTTTTTTTTTTTTTAATTTTTTGCGGCTGGCGGGTGTGGGGATCCGAACTCTTAACTTTGCTGTTACAACAACACAGCGATCTCACCAACTGAGTAACCGGACAGCCCCCCACAGACTATTTTCATTCTCATTTAGATGGTGATGGCCATTTCAAACTTGGTAAAAATTAAGAACTTTTAAATCACTAACATACAAATGCCTTTTGTTAAAAAATTAAAATACCTACCTAGACAGAATAAAAACTAAGCAGTTTATATTCTACCGCCCTTTGCGTCCGTTCTGCCTTGTGCAGATTTTGGAAGCAAGCAGTGTGTGAACGGTCAGGTTTATTTTATTTATTTTTGCCGCTGGCCAGTATGGGGATATGAACCCTTGACCTTGGTGTTATAAGGTCTCGCTCTAACCAATTGAGCTAACAGGCCAGTCCAGCAGTAAGGTTTAGAATCTTATCTCAGCAGTGATAATGCCTTATGAAAATCTGCTATGTTCTGGGTATTATGGCATGGAAGAGGAGACAAACGGGCGCAGAGCAGCTCCGACTCCAGGACAATAGGGAAAGATAAACTAGGAGTCCGTGGGGACGGCCCAGAAGACTTCTGGCAAAGAATCTGAGCCCCCTCGCCGCCGACCTGCCCGCAGAGGCCACAGGTCCCTTTAAGGCGCCCTGAGAGCTGAGACCCGGGAGCTGAGGGGGCGGGAGAAGGGCTCTCTAGCGCACGCCACGTGACTCGGCTGCCAAGTTCGCTCGCGAGTTTGACAGAAGTTTGAATCGGACTCGGGGGCTTTCTGCAGCCGGCGGGGTAGAGAGGCGGCCGCAGCCTCGGCGAGCGCAAGCAGCAGCGCCCCGGCCCCGCACCCCGCCAGCCTGGACCCCGGCCTGCCGACGGCCGCTCGCTTCCTCGGCTGCGAGCCGGCAGCCCCCAGCCCGACCGCGGTGCCCGGAGCCTCCCCGCGAGGGAGCCGAGCCCCCGCGCTGCGCCCCCGCCGCGCTGAGCCAGCATGTCCTCGACGGAGAGCTCCGGTCGCACGGCAGACAAGTCGCCGCGCCAACAGGTAATCCCCGCGCGCCCACCGGCTCTCTCACCGCCCGCTCTCCACCTAGGTGTCAGGCCTGACCCTTGTTCCATCCCCTGCGCCCCGTGTGAGTGGGAGGGAGGGCACCAGCGCTTTTCCGGGGTCCCCCACCGCCCTGACCCCCGACCGGCTCTGTCTCCGCAGGTGGACCGCCTGCTCGTGGGATTGCGCTGGCGGCGGTTGGAGGAGCCGCTGGGCTTCATCAAAGTTCTCCAGTGGGTGAGTCGCTGCCCCAGCCCCGGGCTATTTCGGGAGCCTGGGCTGTGACGCTGACCCGAAGCAATGTGGCCCGGTGGGGGCTGGGAAGGTGCTACGACCCGGCCACTGCGGAAGGGTGGTGGGCGGCGACAGGTGGGCGGGGGAGGGGCGGGCTGGGGCTGCTTCTCGAGCTCTTGGTGGCAGCAGGGTGAAGAGCAAAGCATGCGGAGTCCAAGATTCGGTCCTTCTATGTGCAAGGAGCCTTTGCCCAGGGCACTCATATTTCACTCGGGCGAGAGGACCCGGGTGTAACCTTTCCAGAACTCTGATCCTGCACATACCGCTCCTCGGTGCCAGGAGGCGGGAAGAGGACAAGGGGGACGAGGTCCGTTCTTCACCATGAGGGAAGCGGCAGAGGGCAAAGGAGGGAAGGAGGCAGGCGATGGAAACCATCCTGTCCTCAAACCCACCGGGACCTGGATGATCCTGGGGTGGACTCAGGGGGCGGGCTCCCGGCTTGCCGTTCCCTATTGAGGTCACTGGAGTAATCTGGGCTCCTGTAACTGAGTGAGCAAGTGGACAAATGAATGAATGAATGGAGCTCACAGTTCTAGGACTAAATAAAAGGAAAAAAAAAAAAAAAGAATAAAAATCACAGCATGCCTAAAATGTGGTGTGGGGAATAATATAGAAAACTGATCTGGGAATCTGTGGCCCTGGGTTCCAGACCTGGACCAGCAGCTTTTCCCAGCTCTGTGACCCTGGGCAAATCACTTCTTAGGACTTCAGTTTCCAACATTAGTCAAATGTTGATCAGACCATCCCTAGGTCCCTTTATGCTCTAAATGGGTTGACATGCTAGAATATGGCCCTAATTAGACTTACCCTGTGACCTTGAGAAAAATCACTTGCCCAGGCCTTCAGCTTTTCCTGTTATGGTCTTGTGGAAATCTCCTTGCTTCTCTGGTATCTTGAGATATTGGTATGCTCTCTGTTCTTCCCAAGGCCTCCTGGGTGTAAATTAGGTATGTGGACAGGTGCAGTCACTTTTTCAAATCATAAAGACTCATTGGGGGCATTTAGTGCCATATTGCAGAGAGATTTTAAGTTAGACAATCCACACCCAATGGTGTGTGAATAACTTAATTAATGTGCTCTCAGCACAGAATTCAGCTAGGGAATAAGTTACCATTAATACTGAGGATTGAGTTCTAAATAGCTTTGAACTCACTGGAGATAGGAGTTAGCACTGTGTCACCAGTTCCTAAATCATGCTTTGGATGAGAAAAATCAAATCTGGAATTCTGGGGCAATAGTGCATTTGGCATTATCTCTGGATATCTGAGACCATGACGGGTTACAGCTCAGCCTGAGGAGCTCCCAAGTGCAAACTCTGGTACCTGGTAGAGACTTTCCACTTTCCCTACTGCATCAAGAATGGTTGGACCAACTGCTGACTGAGCTCTTTCACCTTCTACTGCTTTCCTGTTCTAACACACCACTCGAGTACCAGAAGGGGCCACATAAGAATGATATTAGGGCTCCAAATGACTGGCATCCAGAACTAGGAGAGCTATTATAAGCAATCCAGAGAAGCAGAACCTGAAATGTAAGAGTGTAATTTTATCATTAAACTAGACAAATGGATGAAATGGAAATTTGAGACAGACTGTCAAGGGATGAAGGAAACAATGAGGTTATTAGACCATGAACTCATCTTCCCTGGGGAGATTCTGAAAAGCTTCCTTCTTCAACCCTTTCTCCCCACTCCACCCCAATACCCATAATATTTCTATAAAGGCTACACAAAGCAATGTGTAGGGAGATAATCCAGTCTCCTCCCAGAGTCAGCACTGATGCCCTAAAAACTAAGACTTGTTTGACTTTTATGTGATCTTCAACTTCTTAGAGAGGGGGATTATACGAAACAGAGACCTCTTTCTCTTACAATGCTAAATCCAGGGGCCTGGGGCTAGACTCTTAACTCAGCCTTCACTCACAGGGTAGTATCATAAAGAGACATGATTTGCTTTTTTTTTTTTTTTTTTCCTTTTTTTTGTCTTTTTCCGTGTCCGGCAACGGATCGCAACCCTCAGTGTTGCCCCTGTACCGGACCGGGACCGGCAACAGGATCGCAACCCTTGGTGTTGCTCCCGCGCCTCGCTCAGCCAGTGAGCGGGAACCGGCCTGTATGTGGGATCCGAACCCTCGGCGGGAGCGCCACCGCGCTTCCCAAGCGGTGCACTATAGCAGTGCGCCACCAGGCCGGCCTGACATGATTTGCTTTTACTGCCGTCCCAGGAAGCCTGAATTCAGGGTGTAAATTTCACTTACTTTGAATCTGAGCAGATGAGCTAACATAAAAGTATATAGGAACCGCCACCAGAAATGACAGTGGAAAATGTCATTTGAGTTTTTCATTCATTTCCTACTTGGAGAGATCAAATGCTCCTGACTGAAGAAGGAAAAAAAGAAAACACAAATCTAGCAGTGATTGTAATGGAATTGAAAACTTTCGGAGGGCCGGCCCGTGGCTCACTTGGGAGAGTGTGGTGCTGATAACACCAAGGCCATGGGTTCGGATCCCATATAGGGATGGCTGGTTCACTCACTTCAGAGAACATGGTGCTGACAACACCAAGTCAAGGGTTAAGATCCCCTTACCGGTCATCTTTAAAAAAAAAAAAAGAAAGAAAGAAAACTTTTGTTGTCATTATTACCAAAAAGCAAAGCTTTTACTAGAATTCTTGTGAGAAGAAATAATGTTATTCTTTTATTAGTCAGGAGCTTAGCTTAGAGGGTCTTTTCAAAATTCAATAATTAACTAATCTCGCCTCAGTTCCAATTCTGGAGTCTCACTAAGTCTACACTAAGCTAGTGAAATAACCTGGGCATAGAGCAAATATTGGAGAACTAATTTTTTTTTAAAGGCAGACATTGAGGTCAGATGGGCTTTGGTTTAAATTCAGTCTCCCCTGCTTTCTAGCCCTGGAACCTTAGGTAAGCAATGAAATATTTACAGGCCTCAGTTTCCTTATCTGTAAATGGGGGTAAGACCTATTTTATGGGCTCACTGGGAAGATTACAGAAGGTAATATCTGTAAAGTGTAGAGCATTCAGGAAGACCACAGTCAGCCCGGCATTCCAGGAAGTGTTGGTTCCCTTCTCTCCTATTCCTGAACCTCCCCTTTCCCCTAAATTCCCTACTTTATGCAGACTGTCCAGCTAGACCTGTCCTTTGATGAGATTATTCAAATGTCACTGCCAAATCCTCAGTTTGATTGTAAAGTATAAAAGAATCTCTGGGTGACTCAGTCACTGTTCCCATTTGCTTATAAATAAGTCATACTATTTTTAACTGGGTGTGCCCCAATCAATAATTCACCTTTTGGGTGCCAAATTCACTTATTTGACTCTGGGGTCTGTGTAATGAAGATAAGTTATTTCCATCAGTGTGGGGAATTTGAAAGAATACTGTCAGAGTCCATAAAACCAATGAGATGATCAGGGGAGTAGGATTTAGGGAGAGAACTTGTATTCTTTGTGCCCTGCACTAACTGGTGATGTTAGTGTTCTCAGGACTGACACAGGATTATCACCAGCAAGCAAGTCAGCACCAAAGTGCAGCCTCATCCTTAAACTGGAAAGGTTATTCTGACATCTTTGCAAAAGAGATGTAGAGGCAGGAGGAGGAGGAGATGGAGGGCAGAGTATGACCATCACTGTCCCCAGCAATGCAGGTCCAAGAGGAGGAAGTCTGGTTGGCAGCAGAACTCCAGAAATCCCCCTCATTGTAGGGCCTCTCTTTTTGGCTGCTGTTCTTTATGACTAGTTTTCTCATCTCAGAGCCTTGTTCTTGGTGACAGGGGTGTTTTCACTTTCCCTGTGTTCCCTGCAGCTCAGTCACCTGGCACAGTTAGAAAAAAAGGCAAACCTACTGTAGAAAGGTAGATTAGGAGCCGGGTGGAGTGAGTAGGAGAGGATGTCTTTCTCTGCTCCTGCACTCCAGGGCACAGAGCTACTCCCTCCCTTTTTGTAACACTCATGGCACTTAGTAGAGATATATCTCTTCTTTAGCCTTAATAACTCTGTGATGCAGAGTATTGTTTTTGCCTTTGGTTTGTTTGTTTGTTTTAACATGACACTTCTTTCTTGATGTGAATTCCTGAGAGCAGGAGCCAAGTCTTATTCATCTTCATATCTCCAGCACCTGGCACAAGGTAGATGCTCAATAAATGTTGAATTAATGAATGAATGAAGTGGAAAGAACACTGGGCAGGGAATCAGGACATGAATTTTAAGTCTGGCTCTCACATTAGCTAAATGTGACTTTCGGAAAGTCACTTAATATTTGGGGGCATCAGTTTCCACCTCTGTAAAATGACACCATTGGGCTTGATAATCTCTGAGATCCTTTTTATTCTGCTGATTTGTGAACCTGTAAGATTCTCCTCAGATTTTCCCATTATCCACTTACATAGCAAACTGTCTGCTATCTGGCACCATCTGACTCTGTGGTGTTCAGATTTCAACATAAATTATGGTAGATAAAAAGTTATCATTTAAGATGTTTGGAGATTCTTGACTTTCAGAGAATCAGAATAGAAAAGAATAGAGTTAATACTAAAGTTATTATGGGTGTGTTTTGCCCTCTGAGAGATCAGAAAGCAGGGTTCAGAATGTTCGGAACTTCAAGGTCATCATTTAGACATAGCAGAACTTTCAGTGATGATGGAAAAGTTCTATAATCTGTGCTGTCCAGTATAGTACCTGCTAGCCACATGTGGCCATTGGGCACTAGAATGTGGCTATCCTGACTGAGCAACTGAATTTTTAATTTAATTTTAATTAATTTAAATTTAAATATCCAAGCTTAGCTAGTGGCTACCCTTTTAGATAGTGCAGCTCTAGAATGTGAGCTTCATGAGGACAGAGATTTTTTTTTTCTGTTTTGTTCAATGCTAAATAATAGTGCCTAGAACAGTGCCTGGTACATAGTAGATGCTCAGTGAATGCCATCTTTCTGTAGATATTCAGGAGTGCCTGTCAAGAGAGTGCTGGTGAAGAGAAGGCTTCCTAAGTGACTGTTCACTGCCCCCGAGATAGAAATTCCTATTTTCCTAGGGAATTTATAAGGAGCCATTCACTGACTAACCACCTGTGGTTAAAAATATATCCAACTGTGCTGCCCTTCCTAGAATGTGACACCCTAATTGTGTCCAGTTCTGGTCACCAGAAGCTCAGAGGAATAAAGACATTTCTATGAGTATCCGAGAGCCCCAGAGCGAACAAAAGATTAGACAATTCCTATTTGGAAGAGTTAGAGAAGTTCCACTGTTACGCCTGTGAGGCAACTTTGACCATGTAAGCGGGGATGATACAGAGGCTTCAAGTGACTTCTCTCCAGCTCTGTCAAGAAGATGAGCAAACAGGGCTTTACTTCGGCTTCCATAATTTAATTCAGATGAGGAGGTTATTTATGGATTGGAGAGAGGTTATACTATCTCCATTCCTGTATGCCTTTTTTTTTTTTTTTTAAAAAAAGATGACCAGTAAGGGGATCTTAACCCTTGACTTGGTGTTGTCAGCACCACGCTCAGCCAGTGAGCGAACCGGCCATCCCTATATGGGATCCGAACCCGGGGCCTTGGTGTTATCAGCCCCACGCTCTCCCGAGTGAGCCACGGGCCGGCCCTCCTGTATGCCTTTTTTTTTTTTTTTAAAAAAAGATGACCAGTAAGGGGATCTTAACCCTTGACTTGGTGTTGTCAGCACCACGCTCAGCCAGTGAGCGAACCGGCCATCCCTATATGGGATCCGAACCCGGGGCCTTGGTGTTATCAGCACCACACTCTCCCGAGTGAGCCACGGGCCGGCCCTCCTGTATGCCTTTTTAAAATGAAGACAATTCTCATTTGTCTGGAATAAACCTCCTGGAAACAGAGAGGTGCCCATTATGACCTTTAGAGAGAGGTCAATATCTCCAGCTTGGAGATCTGCCAGGCCAGGCAATGTAAGGCGGGGCAGTGGTACCGGACACCACCCAGAGGCAAAGCACAGCTGTTGGCGGACCCAGCCAAGAGCACACTGATAGCATTACCCTCAGAGAGAGAGAGAAAATTCCAGAGCTGGGAAAGGCCTCCAGGTTACCTCCTCCAAACCCCTCATTTTGCCATGAAACTGAGAGAGAGCCGAGTGACTTATCAGAGGTCACCCCACTTATTAGTGACAGGGCCAGCACTAGAACCCAGATTTCCAGACTGCCAATCCAGATCTCTTTTTACTCCATAACACTAATAAACATTAGCAAAATAATGTCCATACAACTCTATTCTAGAGTCTGGATGCAGGACTGGGTGTAGATTATCTGTCTTCTAGGTGCTTAATGTCCAAGGCACTGAGTCACAGAGAAACATACAATAACGAACAATTAACAGAATGAGCTCACTGCTTAGTAAGAACGATTACATCATGTACAAGTCGTAGGTAAGTGAACATGAAACCAGGCCTGAGCAGATGTTGTGAGAGATTCCAATTTCTCACCTCCTTTTCTAACCAAAATGTGTTTCCCGGAAAGAAATTTGAAAAGCACAGGATGAGGAAATTTCATTTCACTCAAGACAGGAGGTGTAGTAAAATGTGATGAAAGGTGGAGAAGAAAACAGTTCAAGTGATCTGAAACACCTGTGGATCTTAACACTGAGAAATGGCGGCATCAACAGATTACAAAGGGAAACACCATTGGGGAAATAGTGGAGGCTGATAAGGCAAGTGGAGAGTACTTTTCTCTGGGCTCGAGCCAGGACTGTCAGCACTGGCCCAGCCAGCTCTGTTGCTGAAAAGAAATGTGTCTTTAGGGCAAGAGGAGTTAGGCTGTCAGTACCATGGGACAGCAGCAGTGGCCCCTCTAAAGGCTTTGTAGAAGTTGTCTCCTCCAACTGTAACTCCACTGAAACAGGAAGCCACCGGAAGTTAGCAACAAGGTAAGGACAAGATTTGATGAGTGGTTCAAAGGAGAAATGGAAAGCATTCCAGGCATGCCTGATCTAGGTTGGTGCAGAGGAATCTATTTCTGAGGGTGCCTTTCCCTTGGGGAGGAAATTCAAGTCTAGCTTTGAGCTAGAAATTTACAAAAGCCCAAATTGCAGAGGTTTTGTGTTAGTTGTCATCTTAAGGAGGCTACCTATGGTCCCCAATGTCATGCCCATGGGGAGACCTGGGATCTGTCCATTTCCTCTCTCTTCATCTCCTTCTCAGACGACACTCAAAGTCAACCTATTCATTTGCCTATTTGGTTCAGCACCCTGTGCAGTGAACACAGCACCCTGAGGCTGGGAGACAAATGGAAGCCATGGGTCCCTGCCCAGGAGGAACTTGATTAAAGAAAATATTCATTCCCCTCAACATACCCCCCCCCCATATCTGCACCTGCTGGTAGTCAGGGGTTGGTTCTTTACCTTGGTCAGTTGAGGCTTTCTGACTCTCAAAGGGCCTTCACTCTCTCTCAGCTCTTTGCTATTTTCGCCTTCGGGTCCTGCGGCTCCTACAGCGGGGAGACGGGAGCAATGGTTCTCTGCAACAATGAAGCCAAGGACGTGAGCTCCATCATTGTTTCATTCGGCTATCCGTTCAGGTGAGCAGGAATTGGTTCTGACCCAGCACAGCCTCTCTCACTGGATTGGCAGGACCTGCTTGATCTCTTCCTCCTCCAGAAACCTAACGAGTATTTGTTGTGTACTGCTCCAGCTTCAAATTGAATTATAAGACCAGGGTCCTTTCTGCCCTTTAGCAATTTCAGACACACTGACCAGAGAAAAACATAAGGGAAACACAGATAGATCATTGTTATAATGTTCCAGACCAATAGCAGGTCACAGTGGTTCATACAAGAAGAACCCATGAAGGCTTACAGGAATCTGGGCAAGTTGGGCAGGTCTCTCTGACCCTCAGCCGCCGCCTCTCCACATTGAAGGTAAGGAAGCTTATTAGTACTGTACTTAGATCCTAAAGAATTGATGTGGGATGCTCACCTGGTATCACCAGAACACAACGAGGCACACCTTGGCTAGAGATAGAAGAGAATATACTTTTTTTTTTAAAAGAGATGACCAGTAAGGGGATCTTAACCCTTGACTTGGTGTTACCAGCACCACACTCTCCCAAGTGAGCCATGGGCTGGGTCAGAAGAGAATATTCTTTCCTAGCTATTTGGGAGCTTAGGGAGTGGGGAGCCCCAGAGGAGAATGTAGACAGGGCTCACCTTTTCATAAATTTGTAGTGTCAGCATCCAAGTTAGATAAACTGTCCCTTGTATAATAGGCTGTCTTTTTCTCTTGATTTTGTCCAATACAGCCTCATTGGGGAGCCTGAATAAGGCCTGATAATGGGTGATTCCAACCCTAACTTGGCCACTGTGGGCGTGTATTTTCCCAGGGGCAGAATGAAGATGATCTGCCTAGTGGTTTGGCTACCAGAAATAGATGGACTATATATATTGTGGTGGTGACCTAAAAGGCCCTGGAGATACTTGGAAATCCATGGTCACCAAGTCTGGGCAAGGTGGATAACTGCAGGGTGGTGACTGAGGGAGAGACAGAGTTCAACTGGAATCTCGGGGAACTTCCTGTCTTGTCTGCAAGCTTCCCTCCCGAAACGTTCCTCCTTATGCAACCCCTTTCTCGGCTCTGTAAGAGTCCCAGGATGGGAACTAGCATAGGACTACTCCTGGGACAGGGAGAGAGAGGATTGCCTGAGCTCAGGATGGCCTCCCCTGCCACCTGCAGGTTGCACCGGGTCCAGTATGAGATGCCGCTCTGCGATGATGACTCCACCTCTAAGACCATGCACCTTATGGGGGACTTCTCTGCCCCTGCCGAGTTCTTTGTGACCCTTGGTATCTTTTCCTTCTTCTATACCATGGCTGCCCTAGTCCTCTACCTGCGCTTCCACAACCTCTACACGGAGAACAGGCGCTTCCCACTGGTGGTGAGTGAGCAGGGGCCAGATGGAATGGGTGGAGAGACTGAGAAGATGTTTGTTAGGGGGCTAAGGTGAGAGCTGGAGGGGAGACAAACATGGGGCTTTTCTGGGTTCCTGACACCCATATGTGGAACCTCTGCCTCTACCAACCTCTCATTGCTGGCTCCTGTTCATAGGAGGCACACTAGCAACTTAAAGAAGTAGGCTCTGAAGTTAGACTGCCTGGGTTCAAATCCCAGCACTGTCTCAATAGCTGTGTGGTCTTAGATAAGTTACCTAGCCTCTCTAAACCTCAGTTTCCTCAACTATAAAATGGGATCAAAATAATACCTACCTCACAGTGTTTTTTGGTGATAAAATGAGAATGTATGTACAGTATCTGCTACATAGTTAGCCTTAATAAGTGTTAGCTATAATTAATATTATTCCCCTTTACTCTCTCCCTATCCCAGGCATGCAAGGCGGAAGGGGTGTCTTAGTGGACCCCATCTTCTGCAATCTTCTCTCTGCCACCACTTGTAGCTGAGCAATGGTGACCAAAGGAAAAGCTGGGAAGGAAGAGTGGGAAGTTTAGGTCACTTGGGTTTTGGGGTAAGGCTGACCAGCAGATGCCTTGGTACATTGTTGCCTGACCTTACTTCTGACAGCATGGGAAGGGGCAGCCTGAGTGGCAAGATTCCTTTGGTGGCAGTGAACAGATTCCTCAGGATGATCTGGGCTCTTGAGGCTATAGATGTTGTATAGGATGGGAAGAGGCAGCTGTCCTGGGATCCTAGGACTCTACTGTATCACGGCAAGAGGAAAGCAAGTGGGGAATCACAGGCCCTTTCTGAGTGTATTTCCCATCCCCCTGTTCCTCCAGGACTTCTGTGTGACTGTCTCCTTCACCTTCTTCTGGCTGGTAGCTGCAGCAGCCTGGGGCAAGGGCCTGACTGACATCAAGGGGGCCACACGGCCATCCAGCCTGACCGCAGCCATGTCTGTGTGCCATGGGGAGGAAGCAGTGTGCAGTGCTGGGGCCACACCCTCCATGGGACTGGCCAACATCTCTGTGGTGAGACCTGTGGCCACCAGAAGGGTCTGGGGGAGGCAGTGCTATCCTGGCTGCCCAAGCCTGTCTCAGCTAGCAGGTTCTGAGAGGAACCAAGAGGGTGTCCCCAGAGCTAGTATCTCCTGTGCCTAATGCTGGCTGCTGGCCCCTGGACGGCCCTAAGAAGATATTTTGGCATTAGAGTAACCTGAGAACCACTCACCTCCTGCATTCTGCCTCTCATTTCCTGTCTCTTCTCCGCAACTCTAGGCATGCTCTCTGTGACTACCTCCCAGCCCTCCTGTCTGTTTTATACTATGTGTGTGTACATGTGTGAGCACGTGAGGGGAGGAGCATGAGAGCATAGGACTGTGCCTGAGCTCCATGAGTGAGTGAGAAGGGGCTGGATCATTGTTGCTTAGCCCTCCAGACTGGAAAGGGACTTTGGGGCAGTGGTGGGTCCAGCTGGTATACAGTTTGGCCATCCTGATTGTCAGCACGGTGAGATATGTCCATATCCATTGGTAAAGAGCTGAGACCTTGAGCTTCTCAAGTGCTCCCTATCTTCCCAGCCACCTCAGCCCTGCACTGAAAATGCCTTGGACCTCCCCAAGACCCACAACTGAAATGTTTAATGGTTGGCACACCAGGGAGCCTTCTGGAACTTGCTGGAACCCTGCTGATAGGTTTCTACCCCCAATATTTTATTGCAAAAGTTGTCACACATACAGCAAAGTTGAAGTAATTTTACAGTGAATACCCACACACTCACCACCTAGACTGTACCACTAACATTTTACTATACTTGTTTTACCACATATCTATTCACCTCTCTTCATCCATCAATCCATCTTATTTTTAATGCATTCCAAAGTTAATTGGAGACATCAGTACACTTCTAACTACTTCCTGCTGTTAGGTATTTAAAATATTTTGAATAAATATTTGAATGTAGCCCTGGCTGGGCCCTGGTCCTAGGGAAGGAGCACCTTGGACAGCTCCTGTCACATGTCCACAAAAGGTGCTCCAAACAGGACCCTACATGTACTGTGGGAAGTGCCCCCCACCAGCTCCACGTCTTGGCTCCTTACTACGCTTTGCATGATGCTCCACTCCAGGGGCCAGATTTCTAGTGACCAAGTTACATCTTGGGTGTATCCTGGGGACAGAGTTAGACACTTTCACCAGGGAATCCCTTAATGGGTGATGGCCTTGAACCCTGCTTCTGTATCCTGTTCTCTGTTTTTTTTTTTTTTTTGTCTTTTGTCTTTTTTCCGTGTCCGGCAACGGATCGCAACCCTCAGTGTTGCCCCCGTACCGGACCAGGGACCGGCAACGGGATTGCAACCCTCGGTGTTGCTCCCGCGCCTCGCTCAGCCAGTGAGCGGAACCGGTCTGTATGTGGGATCCGAACCCTCGGGCGGGAGCGCCGCCGCGCTTCCCAAGCGGCGCACTATCCAGTGCGCCACCGGGCCGGCCCCATGTTCTCTGTCTTTTGGACTTTCTAGCCCTGTGTGCCTCTCCTCTACCTCCCCAGCAGGAACTCCCCACTCTCTGTTCTCATGACATCTCCCCTTACTATTCTCACAAACTTCCCTAATGTCTTTGCAGATCTTCGGCTTTATCAACTTCTTCCTGTGGGCTGGGAACTGTTGGTTTGTGTTCAAGGAGACCCCGTGGCATGGACAAGGCCAGGACCAGGACCAAGGCCCCAGCCAGGAGAGTGCAGTAGAGCAGGGAGCAGTGGAGAAGCAGTAAGCAGCCCCCACCTGGCTACTCCCGAACTGGACAGCACCTCTTCAACCACCTCCGGCTTCCAGGACCTCTCTTTCCTCTCCCTCCAACTCCCTTCCCCCATCATTCTGGGCTTTGAGTTGAGATGTGGATGGGCAGGCATCAGTTGTTGGAAACCTGGGCAGCCCTCCCAGTGGTTTCCTATCCCTCTTCTTGCTGGAACCCCAGATGGCAGGAGCTCAGTGCTTCTTATTTACTGCCTGGACCCAACCATCTAACTTGGGGTCTTACTAGTACCCTCATAGCCTCTGAGAACCAGCCTCTGCTGCAGGGGTTGAGGGCAGGAGACCAGAGCCCTTAGACTGGACCCTAGCAGCCACCTTTATATCAACCTGTCCAGCTTCAGTAATAGTGGGGGTAGAGAAAATCAGCTGGCAGCCTCCCCTTCCCCAGTCCCTTGCATGGAGGGCCCAACAGTGGTTTCGTGACCCTTCCTCAGTGGCTGTCATCTAGTCCCTGTGTCTGATCTCTAGTCAGCCCAGACCTCAGCGTGCTTTCCATTCTCTTCTCTGACCTCTGCTTGCCCACAGACTTTACCATGTGTGAACCAGGAAGGCTGACTAGCCTAGAAAAGAGCCCTTTATAGGGTCCTGATGAGGCCTGGACTCAGCAGGGAGCAGATAAATTGCAACTGAGTTGCAACTTCAAGAAACTAAAGCCAGGAAACTCTCTGGCACAATCAGTTTCTTCTGTCCCCTCAATCCTCCCACCCCCCAGGCTAGGGCACTCTCCACCAACACTCCAAACTCCACTTATTCTAGAAACTCGTTACCTTCCTCCCTGTCTTCTGTTTTGGGCTTGGTCTCATACTTGGGACACAAGATGAGGGGTATTGGAGCATCTCCATTTCAGCCCCCCGCCCCCATTCCCCCAACCTCTCTATGTCCCTTCCCCAGCCTTTTGGGTTTGAGGCATTTGAGATCCTTTTCAATGTCTGCAGGCCTTCATTTCATTCCTGTGGGGTGAGATAGGGACTTTGGAAGGTCCCAAAGGAACATCATCAGGCTGTTTCTCCAGAGCCCCAGGACATGGATGGATGGGCCCATTTCTTCCTTATTATCTGCTTGTTTTTTCCTCTCTGCTCCTTCTCTAGTCCCTCTTTCATACTACCCCTTCTCATCTTCACAAAAGGATATGTCTCCTCCCTTGCTCTCCCATTCTTCCCCTACCTCTTCCTTTCTCCAGGCTCTATCCCCTCTCCAGTCCAGGGCAGGCTGATGTATTGGTGCTTCTTCACTTTGGGACCCAGTTCCATATTTGTCTTTGGTGTGTCTCCTCTTCCTAACACCTTCTTGAGTCCCTCTCTGGATCCCAAGGCCTAAGAGTCATTGCTAAATGGGTAAGGACCATCTGCTACCTACCCAGCTCCAAACACCTGAATCTACCCTGGCCCTAAAGCTTCATCCATCCAGGGAAGGATATAGAGCGAGAATCCAACCATTTTCCAATCCAGCACCAATTGGCCCACCCAGAATCCCAAAGGTGAATGTGCCCTGTGCCAATCTCTCCTCAGGATGGAGTCAACCCCCTTCAACCTCCTCACCTCCCTAAACGCCATCCATAGTAACGTGTATTACTGGGGTACCCAAGGGTTAGGGCCTTTGATTTCATGCCAATCATTTCCTCTTTGAGACAGAATTTCCCCACTTGACAGGGGAAGTGTGAGACTTACATCCTCAAAGACTCCAGAGTCCTTCAGTGAAAGAATTAGGTTTCTTGTTTTGTTTTTTAGATTTTGTGGAAGAGATTTGAGGAGGGAAAAAAGGACATGGGGTGAGAGTGTTTCTGAGTCTGAAATGCCTCTCTGTCCTGAGCTGTCCCCATGATTACAAGGGAGACAGTTTTTCCTACAGCTCTAGAGACACAGAGAACTAAGGAATGACCTTCATTTTTCTTCAGGCTGGCCCCTGTGGGGGTCTGTAAGCAGCTTCTACTGGAACTTTGTTTGGATTCTGTGTCTATATTTATAACTTATTTGAAATGTGATGGATAAAGTGTTCTCATATGGGGGCAGAAGTTAGCAAATGGCTCTTCAGCTAAGGAAAGAGGGAGGGGGGCAATATTCATTCCTGCCAAGGACTCCCAGCCCAAACTCTCCCTAGAACAGAGAAGGCTCTTTCTCCTCCTCAAGAGGCTGGCTTGTTCTCAGCCAGAAGAGCCTTAATTGGGGCGATGGCCTCCCTCTCCTTGACCACCCTAAGAGGAAAGGCCACTTCACCTCATTACCTCCGGAGGGCCGGGCTGGGCTAAAAGCCAAAAGCCAAGGGCAGGGCTGTCCTCATAGGACTAATATCCCCTCCCACCAGGCTGGCATCACCACTTTGCCTACTGGGGCCTGAGGTAGGAGAAGGTGTCTGGTTTCTCCAGATGCTGCAGGAAGTCAACAGGCAGGGCACTTGCCCTTTGCCCTAGTAGACTCTGACCCTGCCAGGGTGCCCACCTAGGACCTTTCCTGGACATGAATTTCCTCTACTATCATGGTCATAAGTGTCCTACTTTCAGGATTGCAAATCAGGGGTGGGGGGAAAATGTTGCATGTTGTTTTCTGGTGCTTGTTATTACACATTGAATAAACAACGCTGCGAGCATTTGCCATGAAGGAGCCAAGACTGCAGCCCTTCTAGGGATTTTTTTTTTTTTCTTTTCCTTTCCTTTCCCTTGCTTTCAGTTCTCAGACAAATATCAGCATTTCCACCAAGATTTCATTCTACTTCTCTCCACTCTGCACCCCAAGCAATAGAGTCTGCTGGCTGAGCAGTTCCTGGCAGGCCCTAGTCTAGTGACATCTCCTCTTTTGGTAGCACCCAATTAGTCCAAAGCAACTGGGACTCATTAGCAGATTTGGAGCAAACTCAGAAGGCAAGAGATAGTGGCTTCCACGGTGCTGTTTCCATTTGCTCTCCCACCATCTGTGACCCAAACAAGCTTCCTGTCAGGAGTTGAGGACCATATGTTTCACTCTTTTAACTTAAGGTTCTTGCTGAACAAACTTGCACCTCTATCCCCCTTCAGACAGATACTAACAGTACATTTACATTCCGTAGAAAAATGCACTTTGGCACAATTTTACATTCAATTTCACCAGGTTCCTGGACCCCCTAGAGATCATGTACGGTTCTCAGGTTAAGAATCCCTGCCCTCAGAGATTATGCTTGAAGTACTTAAACATTCCCTGGATGAAGAGGAGGAGAAACTATGAGATCTCGAAGTCGTAGACCTTGAATTATTTGCTCCCAAACTTGGTTTCCCCGTAGCTGAGGTGTGAAGGGTTGAAGAGGGAAAAGAGGATCAGTATATTTTTTTCTGATGTGACTGGAGGGAAGAAAGAGGCAGATTTTTGTCTCTTGATTGTGTGAGGGTGGGAAGAAATATTATCAGCTGAGAAGAAAGGTGGATGATTAAAGTACTTTCCAGGCCTTAGCAAGGAAAATAACAGATCTGATGAGAAATCTCCTTATGCCGAGGCTTCGTAGCAGCTCTTCCAGCAGAGAAAATATTCGTTAGAAAAAGAAGCCAAAGTGATGGATGGAGGCAGGGTCCAGCCAGGGTTTGGGAAAAGGCGGTACAGGGTATCGATCGCAGTTCTCAGGAGGAGAGAGACGGATCAGCAGAGATGCTGCAAACACCAGCAGCCCCGGGGCCACCCCAGTTCCGGGGCTGGCTCTGGCAGGAAGACAGCCTTCTGTCATCCTGACAGGTGATCGTGGTCAGCGTAGCCAGGTCCTCCCGAACCCAGACAACGCCACTCCAATCCTTTGCTCTGCATCAGGGCAGCGTGGGTTTCCCACAGAGGAGGCACAATACGTGAGACGAGGCCCTCCCCCACTCCAACCCCTGTGTCCTTCAGCACATCCTACAGACTCCCTCCCCTTGCCCTTCTAATTCACAGCTCCCACCTCCCCGCACCTACCCTATTCGATCTACAGGGAAGCAGAGTCGCTTCGTGGCCGCCAGCCCAGGAAGGGGCGCCAGCCAGCTGGCAGACGCGCTGCTTAGAGGGGCGTCTTGCGCGGAGAGGTTTGGGGCTCGGGTGTGTGTGAAGTGAGCTTGGGAGAGTGGATTGGCAGCACAAAGAATGTGTGCACAAGGGTTAGGAGAGGAGATCCTGGGGCTTTGGTCTTCTCTTTTTCCCCGCAATCGTACATTTCAGAAGGACTCTCGCGGCAAGCTCGGTAGGCAATAGCACCCACTCTGGAACTACATTTCCCAGAAGGCTATGCGGGAGGGAGGGCGTGGGGTAAGCAACCTCTATTGCGCTTGCGCAAAGTGAGCTGGAAAGGCGGGGGAGAAGGGAGGCGTGTCCTCGGTGGGGCAGCGGGGAGGGGGCCGCGCGGCGGCGGCGCCGGGGCGGGCGCGCGTCCGCGGCGGTGATGGCGGTGCGTGAACGCGCGGCAGCAGCAATGGCCGCTCTGGAGCGGCGGGTGCCGAGTCTCGATGACTTCGCGGGACAGAGCTGGAGCTCGTGGGTGGAGCGGGCCGACCTGCCCGCAGCCGATGGTGAGTGAAGCCACCCTGGAGTCCGGGGACCCCATCACTATCTCCCCTCCCCCCTTCCGGGCCCCCGCCAGCTGAGGGGAGCCGCCGACAGGAGCCGCCGTCCGGCTCCCCGGCCCCCCAAACAAAGGACCCGCCGGGTCCTAGTGCCCGCCTGCTCCGCCACCTTCGCGCCTCCGGGTCCTAGCGCCGGCTCATCGCTCTCAGCCCACCCTGCCCACCTCTGCCTCTGCCGGTGCCCAATACCTGCCCAGACATCTGCTTGCCTTTATCTTTCTACTTGCCTTCTGGCCTCTGGCTTCCGCCCCTCCTGCACCTGCCTCCGGCTTTCCCCATCCGCAACAGTCCTCTCCACGTGTTTCCCACGCACCCCACTTCTGTGCCCCCCTCCCCACCCTCCTTGTTCCTTCGCCTTTTACCCCACACCTCCTGCTCCTTTTTGGCGTTTGCCTGCCGTCTGCAGTGCTCCTGGACCCCCGCCCTCTCCGCATTAGTTCGTCCGTCCACCTATCCATCTATCCTCCCTCTCTCCCTCCATCCTTATGTCCATCTATCCATGCTTCCAACCCACCGTCCTTTCTCGGGCCTCTAGCTCTGCCTTTTGGCTCTCTCCTCTGACCCCCACCTTCTCTAGGTCCCTGAATGTCTTTGGTGAGCGGGCCTACAGCCCCTTCTTCTTATCTTTGTCTCCTGGCCCCACGGGGCACCTGGCCTCGTGGCTTTTGGGGGTGACAGCAGGCATCATGCCCCAGAAGAAGTTTGCAAGTGAGAAGAGGTGGAGGAGGAGACCGCATGGAGCGGTCTCTAATGACACTTGTTCTCCTCTGAGACATCTGACTCCCGACTCCCAGCTCGATTCTACCCATCATTTCCCACACTTGGATTTAACGGACTTAAAAGAGTGGGAGCTGCTCCTCCTCTCTTGCATGCCTAACCCATCTCCCCTTATATCTAGATATTATATAAGACTGTCAACAATCTTCTCATCCTAGAAAGGTGCATATCTGTTAGTGGACATCAGACAGCAGACTTAAGTGAGAGCCCAGGCCACCCTGGGACTACCCCATGCTGGGTGGGCAAGGATGGGGCCATTGTCAGAGTCTGGGTGCATTGAGAACCGGAAATGGAGTCAGACGGGTTTGGTGACTCAGAATTGATTTTTTTTCCAAAGGACAGGGAGGGGGCATAGAGGTGGGAGGGGGGAGGAGGAAGGTAGGGGGATGGGGAATGAACTGCTTTGCACAGCTAAGATGTTTTTGTCATTAACCCAGAAACTGAGGTACAAGAGTAACCCCTGCCCAAAGCCCCCCTAAGAAGGGGAGGGGCTTGTATAGCTGACCAAAGAGACTTTGAAGATGCCAAGGGGCCAAAAGACAGCAGTTTCTCTGCTCTGTGACCATCCTATCAGTGCAGAACCTGAGAAGCTGTGTTTAACTTTGACAATGCTATGGTAACTCAGGTGGAGCAAAATTGATTTCATGGGGGTGGGGACCTGGGAGAATATCTGTTTTGGATACCACAGAGTACAGAAAGGACCCATCTGAGAAATCTCAAGAAGGGACTCAGTGATCTATAGAAAAATTTGTTAGGGACTGTTTCCCCTTTAAGTGGGGAAGCAGGCCCAGAAAAGAGAAGACATTTACCCATAATCACCCAACTAGTCAGCAGTGGAACCCTGAACTGCACCTTGGAGTGAAGGGTCCATAAGAAAGGTGGCTGGATTCTTCTTAATGGAGTCAGCTCATTCCAAAGGCAGCAAGGTTCTCCCAGTGGTCCCCAGCACCAGAGCTTGTCAAGGGTTGTGGGTTTCATACTGCTGGCTGCAGGCTCTGCTCAGATGGGAGATAGGGTGTCTGGGAAGGGGTTGCTCCTTCTAAGCTGTGTTTCTCCTCCAGGGACTGAGCTGGAGGAGAGTAGCAAAAACACAAAGAAGTTGGATGCCATGACCCTCATTAAAGAAGGTGGGAGTCAACACACATTAGGGCTGGGACCCAGGGCAGTCAGGACCACCCTCTGCTCTTTTACCACACCCAAGAGGGAGGTGGCTGCTTGGAGCAGCAGGTCTGGGGATCTTCATTTTGATAGGTCCGAGTCAGCCCATTGTCCTGGCTTCTGGGACCTTTGTTAGAGATCCTAAGCATAGGTAATTGGTGTTCACTCACCTGAAAGCCCATATACTTCAGGACTGGTTAGATTGAACTCTGGAAGCTGGGAGCATCTAGCATAAAGCCTGTCATGTCAGCTGGGAGGTGAAGTGCCTTCTGAGGGGTGGGGTGGGATGGGATTGCTGTCTAATCTTAGAAGGAAACCCTGGGGTCCCCAGCCCCAGTGATAAGAACTTCTGTCATTGCAGACATGTCAATCTTCGGGCACTGCCCTGCCCATGATGACTTCTATTTGGTTGTGTGTAACCACTGCAGCCAAGTTGTGAAGCCTCAAGCTTTCCAGAAGCACTGTGGTGAGGGGAGCACTAAGGAGAGAGAGGGGACAGGGAAGGTGGAACATGGGACTCTGAGGACAGGATCAGTTGGGAGGTTGTATGGGGTAATGGAGGGTGGTGTTGGGGATGGGAAGGTCCTGGGGGTGGCTTCAGAGCATTGTGAGGAGTCATGGTTATTGTTTGAACAAACTTCTAGTATCTGGTGGAATTCAGTGAGGAGTTAAGAGGTTCAGGAAGCTGGGTCTAGAATATTGAGTCTTGAAGGCTCAAATTTGAATCGGAAGGAGGCAAATTTACAGTCTAGGCTATGGAAACTTAGATTCTCTAAAGTGAGTCTGTGGGCAGGATTAGGAAGTTGGGGAAGGAGTCAGTTGATACCACTCACTTCGATTACTCTCTCCACCTCCTGGTGACAGAAAGAAGACATGGGCCCCTCAGCAAGCTTTATGCCCGGGCCCCACCCCCACCTCCAGCCCCTGCCAGCTCTCAGAAATGCCATGTAGTGAATGGGCAGGGCCCAGCTTGTAGGGCCCCAGGTTCCACCAAAACCTCCTCCAGGGAAAAGGGCCAGGGGTCCCGGAGCCGTGGCCACCAGCCTCCTGAGAAGACCCAGAAGGACAACCTCTGGTAAGGAGAGGCAGAAGACTCCCTAAGACTGGCCCTGACCCTAACCCAGGGAGGGGTTGACATCAACGGAGGCAGCCCTGGGTCGAGGGGTACTGCTCACAGCAGGAGGTAGCCACTGTATCTACAGCTCCCTTCAATATATTCCAAGGAATATGGGGTCTCCTTTTCCTGTGTTCCAACACCCCTACTGGAGCCCACCCAAGTTCCAGGGCCAGGAAGGAGATGGCTCTGGGCTCTAGTCCAGTTCCCAAGCCCAGCCTCCCCACCCCGCAGCTCATACCCTCTCTCCATGTGTAGCCTTTTCGTGCCTGTGGTGAATCTGGAGAAGATGTCCAGTCTCCCAAAGCCTGATGGACACGGAATCAGGGTGGCCCCGCCTTCTGCTTTCCTCAACCAGCCGAGCGGCCTCACAAAGGACTCTCCTGGAAAAACCCCCATGGCTCCTCCTTCTAAAGAACCTCCTGGCAGAGAGAGCATTGAGATAATCCACAGTGAGGGCTCCAGTCACCGGGCTGAAGGCAGCCCCCTGGAGAAGGAGTCTGGTGGGGCCAGGCTACCTCCCAAAACCCACCGGAAGATGGCTCGTGAGTAGTCATGGTCTTGGGGGTCTGGAAGGTAGAGTGGGGACTCCTTTGGGTTGCTTTATCCTTGGGCCAGATGGGGAGGAGGTCAGGAAGGAGAGGGCCTGGCCATCACAGGTTGTAGGGTACAGGATCCCCTGTCATCTCTTGACCTGCTTGCTCTCTGGGAAGCTTCTCTCTAGCCCAGGTCTCCTGAGTGAGGCTAGCAGGTGAAGTTCCTTCTCCTCACCTTAGGTGGTTGACCTGTATCTCTTTTCTCACCTAGATCCAGGGTACCAGATCCCACAGCTGGTTTCCCTAGCATCCTAGATGCTTGTGTCTGCTCTTCTTTCTTGATATATGTTCCCTTGCTTTGGGCTTGAAGTTCCCAAAAGGGGTGCGTGGAATGGGGACATGGATGGTTCTCATGCCCAGCAGAGAGATGTTGATGCCCAGAGTTTCTCTGGAAGGCAGAGCCCCAGACCTGAGGGCTGAAAGCTCTTCTGCCTTAGTTCCAGTTCTTCCCAGGCCCTTAACAGGAAGAAGCCAGATCCTCCCCAGATGGCCTTGCAGTTCATTGGAACCACTTTCCCCACAGGGAAGGAGTGTGACCTCAACAGGCAGTGTGGGGTACTAAATCCGGAGACCAAAAAGATCTGTACCCGCCTGCTGACCTGCAAGGTAACCCCTACTCCCACTGCACAGTGAGGGAGGAAAGCACAGACATGAGAGCTGGGCAGAGAGGAATTTAGATGGCACTGAAGATCCAGCCCAAGGGATGGGGTTAGGCCCACACTGGGGAAGGGGAAAGGAGGCTGTCCCCAGTGGGCACAAGGTGGGAGCAGCAGGCAGAGGGTGGCTTCCAGATCCATCCCCCAAAGGAAGGTCTTGGCCTCACAGTAGAGTGAAACAAAAACACACAAACATACTCACAGACATACTCACATTCCCTCTCTCTCCGCTTGCCCAGGCCAGAGCACACTGCTGCCCTTCACCTCTGCTCAGCTCACACCCCCTCCCCACCCCTCCACCCTGCTGTATTCTAGATCCACTCGGTGCACCAGCGCCGGGAAGTCCAGGGCCGGGCCAAGGACTTTGATGTGCTAGTGGCAGAGCTGAAGGCCAACTCTCGTAAAGGGGAGTCTCCCAAGGAGAAGAGCCCAGGGCGCAAGGAGCCAACTCTCGAGCGCCCCTCTTCCCAGGAGCTCCCCTCCTCAGACCAGGTTGTGGCAGCAGTGGCTGCTCCCAGCAGCACCTTCTCTGCTCGTGCCAAGCAGACCTACCCATACTGTGCACTGCCCAGGTACGTCCAGGATCCTACCCCTACCTCACCTGGTTATACTTGGCCCCTAAGCCATCAGGGACCCCTGGAGGCAGGCCCAGGGAGTTTGCTGGAAGATGTGCTCATTCATACCTGCGTGTAGGGGGATAGCTGGGGCCCCTCGCAGTGGTGTGGAAGCAGGTGACTCCCCTGTTCCTAACCAAGCATATCACCATAACCTAACCTCTCTGTAGTGTGCCATATCCAATACCTGGGGTATGAACATGTTCCCAGCTGCTTCCCATAGGTGAAAACTTGTGATTGGGGAGCTGCAAGGGTCATGGTCCTAGGTGAGGCATTCCTGCTGTATATTCATTCTCCGGCCCCTTTGTGTGCAGAAGCTGCACTGGACTCTGGGGAGAGCCTGTTTTGCTGAAGGAGATACACACGCATCTCTGGCTGTCACATGAGGGACAGACACGAAACACAGGCTCACCTCCCAGACAGGCTCACAGGAATCTGTGATGCAAGAAGGGGGTTAAGAGAGTTGGCTGGGCTGACCAGAGCTGGGTGCAGTTAAACTCAGAAGATTTTCTGGATGAGGTGAATCTGGAGCAGATTTTCCCCCTGAGGAGGCAGGGCCTAGGAGGTGAAGAGACTGGGGAGAGAATCCCTTGGGAGCTGTGGCCCCTGGTCTCTCTGTTTGTTACTCTGTGAGCTCTAGTGTTCCCTCCTGTCCTTTCTTCCTTCATCTTCCTCTGATTGACCAGCAGGGTGTCTGCCCTGTCTTTTTGAGCTTGGTGGGTTAGGGACACCCAACCCCACCCTGACCCCATACCAGTCACATCACCCTCACATCCCCTCTGGCCCTTCCAGGTCCCGGGCTTCCTCTGACAGTGAGTTGGATGATGAAGGCCCCTATGGTGGTGATGGGGACCCAGGCCTGTTCCCCTTCCCCCTGCCCCGGAGTGGGGCCCAGGCCTCCAGTGAGGAGAGTGAGGAGGAGGGGACATCTGATGACCTCCACCTCCCCCCTGACTGCCATTATGCAACCCGGCCCCCGCGGCCACAGGCGGTAAGGACCTGGGACAGGGGCCTGGGGTGGGGGTGGTCCAGCCATCCTGGCCCACAATATGGGGAGGAGGTCAGATCCTGTGTGCAGATGCCCTCCCTGTACCTCAGGCCCCGGCAACCACGTACCTTCCTTCCGCCTCCAGTTCTGCACCTTTGGGAGTCGGCTGGTGAGTCCAGGATGCTACGTGTTTAGCCGCCGGCTGGACCGGTTCTGCTCGGCACTCAGCTCCATGCTGGAACGGCACCTCAGCTCACACATGTGGAAGTGAGTCTCTCGGGCCCAGAACTTCACTTGCCAGGCCCCAGGCATACATAGGCTTCAGAAGCCCTTATCCTTCACACATACCCATAGGTGTGCGTTGGCTGTTTGCCAGGAGGACCCCATTTGGGGAGTGGCATGAAGAGGAGGTGGGTAAACTTGGCAGCCTGGAGCTGGCCTAAGGCAGGGTATGAATGGGTGGTCTGGAGGTGAATCTAGACTCTTATCCATCATTTTAGTACCTTTTGGGTAACTAGGGATAGGGGATGCCCAAACCGAGATTTAAAATGAGGTTTTTTTGTTTGTTTGTTTGTTTTTTTAAAAGATGACCGGTAAGGGGATCTTAACCCTTGACTTGGTGTTGTCAGCACCACGCTCAGCCAGTGAGCGAACCGGCCATCCCTATGTGGGATCCGAACCCGGGGCCTTGGTGCTACCAGCACTGCACTCTACCGAGTGAGCCACGGGCCGGCCCTAAAATGAGGTTTTTAATGGGTCTACATACTAGTTCATATATTACATACTAGTTCATTCCTTTCCATCCCTGTGCTGTCTTCCTAACCCTCAGTTCCAGTGTCTCCCAGCAGATGGCAGCAACTCTGGGGCTCTACAGGCCATTTCTAGGTGGGGCGGAGAGACTGGTGTATGTTTGGGGGAGGCCTTCTTGTTTGCTTGGCAGTCACAGTGGGGCTCTCTTTTTGCTACAGGAAGATCCCACCAGCGGCTGAACCTCCATCCCATCTTGTTAGCTCCCCTTTATCTGCTCCTCTGAGCCCATCCTCTACGGGCAGCTGCCCCCGTCTTCCAGGCCCACCCCCCAGACCTGCCTGCCCAGCCTCTACACCCCCCACCAAGGACAACCTTGTCCCCAGCTACCCTGCAGGCTCCCCCAGTGTGGCAGCTGCTTGCAGCCAGGCAGAGTGCATGGGCGGGAGCCAGGCTATCACCTCACCACTGCCTGCCAACACACCCTCCCCGTCCTTCAGCAAACTCCCACCTTCCAAGGTCAGCAAGTCATCCAAAGGCAAGGATGGAGCAGAGGTGGAGGTCCCTTCTCGAAAGCGGAAGTTATCCCCTGGCCCCACCACTTTCAAACGGACTTGCATCCTGGAACCCACTGGAAAAGGCAAACCCTCCGTCTGCCGGGGCCTCTCAGCCAAGACTAAGACAACCCTGGGCATGGGGCTTAATGGGACAGTGGGGCCAAGAGTGAAGCGAGCAGGGCCCCTGGACTGTCGGAGTTCCCCTCATCAGCCTCCTACACCAGTCAAGGCTTCTCAGCTGGAGAACCGGGGAGCAGCTGGACACCCAGCCAAGGCTCTGCCAACCAACTGTCTCTCTGAGGAGGAGGTAGCCAAGAAGCGGAAAAACCTGGCCACTTACTGCCGGCCAGTGAAGGCCAAGCACTGTCAGGCTGGTGCTCCTGCTGATGTGGCCTGCTCTGTGCGCCGCAAGAAGCCAGGCCCGGGCCTGGCCTTTGAGGAGAAGTGCTCTACACTGAAGGTACCAGGCCAGCTCCTGAAGAGTGTGGGCAGGGAAGGGTCAGGATGGTTAAGGGTGGGGTATGCAGTTGGGTACCTGACACAGAGAAGGTGTGAAGTAGATGTTTGTGTAGGGAAGGGGAGAAAGGGGAAATTGAGAGAGAGTTCCTGGACCAACTTCTTTAGAGAGAGATAGGGTCGGCTCTTGCCAGCTCTTGCCCGGCTTTGGCCTAGTAGACCTTCCCCTATCACCAGCCCTCTCCCTTGGGCTAAGGAGACACTGCACCTGTCCACCTCTGCTTTTGCTTAAGTCAAAGGGCTGCTGCTTTTTGAATTGGCTGTGGCCCTCATTCCAGGAACTGCAGCTACCTCTGTCCCCTGAAGGAAAGGGGGTTTGGGTCTCTGAGCTGTGACCTAACATGCTGAGCAGAAGGGTGGGTGGGTTGGTCTTGTTCATTGGTTCTTCCTCTGGGCATCAGGGCATTGAAGGGCAGGTACATAACTCAAGGTCCACATATGCTTGTGTGCCCAACTTGCACATGTGTCTACCTCCAGGTTTTCAGGTAACAGGCAAATTCTCCAGGGTTTCTGGTAAAGCCTGTGGCCAGGTTTATTTGCCTCATCTGATGGGAGCCCTGGAATAGTATGTCAGGGGCTATTCCATATGATCCCTCAGCCAGGGGGCACTTAATGGAGATGGGATGAGGGCATGCTTTCCTGATTTAGGCATGGGCAGATGCTTACCAACTCTCCTGGAAAACAGTGAGTTTGACAGTTGTCCGGGTCCTGAGCATGAGCATGAGTGTGTGTTTTCTACCTTCACTACCCAGGCTGCCCCTGTTGGGCTGGCACTCATCTTCCACCTTGCTCAGTTTTACTCATCAGGCCAGCAGAAGGAAATCAAGCTTTAGGCTTTAGAGTCTGCACAGATCACTGGGTAGGACAACTGGTAGGCCCCCACCCTGACCCTGTCTCCTGCCTCTTGTCTTCCTGCAGTCAAAAGCCCATTAATGAGAAAGTGCCTGCCCACTGCAACGGAGCCGCCAGCACCTCCTCCCCTCCAGATCCGGGCCCCAGGCTGCTGCCGCTTTTTATAACTTTATATTATTTTTTTTAAGAAAAAAAACTCTTTAAAATACCTCAAGACTGTCTCCCTGCTCTGTTGCTGCTAAGAAAATATAAAAACAGAAACATAGAAAAGGAAGAAAAATGTAATGTAACAAAATGAGTGTCCTTACTGTCCCCAACCCTACCCTGGCCAGATGATAGGCAGCCAGACTCCGTGGCTTGCCTGCAAACGTCTCTTATGCTTTTTTTTTTTTTTTTTTCTTCCTTTTTTTGTCCTTTTAAACAGTGTGGAAATGCCTGGGGTTTGTATCATTCAGGGAGTCTTCTCTTCAGATAGGATGATGAGGCGTGTGGCTCTGAATGAGCAAGGCTCCCCAGGATCTCGACCCCAGAGACTACTCTGGTCCTAGTGGAAAGGGAAATGGGGGGGGGGGGCATTACACCTCCGGCTCTACTCTTGGATCTTTGCCCTTAGGGTGTGTGGAATTTGGCTTGTGGCCCTTTTCTGGTCTTCCAGCAACCCTAGGCATCCATCCATCTCAGAATTACTGCTGAAGTTTCTTCAGCTGTACCTGCCCTTCCCACTCTTACGAGTAGGCTCATTTTCTCAACCATTTAGGGAGCTGAGTTGGTAACTGCTCTTCGGATGTCCCTAATTTCCACTGGGCAGCCTGTTTTGGTCTCATTTTTTCCTAGCCTGTGGGTTCGCTTTTAAGGAAGGGGTACAGCTTCTCCCAGGTAGGCTTCCATGGGCTGAACCACACCTTTTCTGGAGACAGGATGGGAAAAGGTATAATCACGTGCAGAACTTGTGGTGTGGGAGGCCCTGGAACCTGAGGATCACCTGACTCCTCTGGGCTGAACAGCTGTTGTGGAGGCGACAAAGGCTGGGAGTGCCCTAGTTCTTCTGTTTATCTCAGAGGGGAAGACAACTGCTGCATAGATAGGGGATGACACTTGCATCTCCCTCCTTTGGTCCTCAAAGCTGAATTCAGTTACAGGGCACTAGTTTTTGGCCTTCTACTTTGCTTTTACTCTCCTTGCTTTTAAGCAGGGAGGAATCTTGTTCTCTTAGCAAGACAGAAGAGGAGATGGCAGGAGAGAGTGAGCAGCCGGGGAGATCCAGTACTTCTGGAAAGCTGCTCAAAGCACGTTTCACACACTTGGTTCAGTGATTTGGGGTTTCACTAAAATCAGTTGCCACAAATGTAATATGCACACGCTGCTTGAGATATAGGCCCTTGTAGACACAAAAATTCAAACCAAGGTGGGCTGGGAGCTGTCCAGTCAGTTCCCTTGCGCCCCCGAGTCTCAGGAGAGCGGGCCTCCCCGGGCAGACGCGCTTCCCCCCCAGCCCCCAGAGGGCGCTGTGGACGCCTCCGCCGCACTGTCGGCGGCGTCCCGGGGGAGGAGCCTCCCCGCCAGCCGCCGCCACCGCCTCCGCGATCGCAAACCCGGAAGACAAGCTCCGACAGCTGGAGTGTGCGGGCCCGGCCAATCCGGCACGGCCATGCAGCCCCTGGAGGTAGGTCTGGTTCCCGCTCCAGCGAGGGAGCCGAGACTGACCCGCTGGCTGCGGAGAGGCAGCGGGATCTTGGCGCACCTGGTAGCTTTGGGATTCACCATCTTCCTGACCATGCTGTCCCGGCCAGGAACCAGTGAGTGTGCGAGGCGGGGCGGGGCCTCGGAAGGGGGCGGAGCCGAGATGCTGGAGGGGCAGCGCTTGGGAGCGCTAGGAGACGTGGAATGGGGACCCCGAGCAGTGGAGGGCCGGATTATGGAAGGGTAGTAAGGGCCTGCAGGGGCGGGGCCCGGGCGTCCTGGAGGGGTGGGGCTTTGGGTGCTGTGGGGGAAGGGCAGATGATTGAACAGACCGAATGGACTACTTCATCAGAAGCAGGGCCCCTGATGGAGGAAGCAAGTGGAGGAGGGAGGCGGAGGTTTATCTAGGACTGGTCTGACAGCTGAGAGGTGCTGAATGGGGAACCCAGGCCAAAGTAGGGAATGTTTGCGGGAAGGCTTCTTGATTGCTTACCCTGAGGCCCCTTGGCTGCTCCACTTTGCCCTGAGTTCCTGATTCCTGATTAGGGTTGGGGATCATACACTGACCTTCCCCCAGGACCGGATTCTTTGGGCTCCAGCTGGCCACAGGGGCAGGAAAAGTGGTGCCCAGCAGTCAGCCTGTTCTCTTTGATTCTTAGGTCTTTTCTCCTGGCACCCTGTGTTCATGGCCTTGGCGGTGAGTTTGGGCTTCTTTCTGCAACTAATTTGTTTGGATATGCCTAGAGAAGGTTCAGCCTTTCTAAGACTCTGAGAGGTGGGGAAACAGCAAGGCCCCATCTTTCCCTGCAACCTATGGAATTGGGAAACATGGAGGGTTGGGCCATAGTGTCAGGTGGTTGAAAAGGGTGGGAGGGCATGGAAGATATTTCTTTCTCCACTGGGGCCTGAAAGGAGGAAGTGGAAGGGGTGTTATTCAGTTATCTCCCCTCTTACCCCAAAGTTCAGGAGAAAGCTGAACATTTGCTGTTCCACTGGTCAAGAAATGGGAATCATTGTCTGTAGAGGTTGGGGTGAGGTGATGTCAGCTTGAATGATGAGACTTGCACTCAAGTGCTGATTCCCAAATGTTCCTAGAAATGCTGACTTGTGAGACAGGAGGTCCTGATGGAAGTTCTTTAGTCTCCACTCCTTGTCCTCTTTGGATGTAGGAGAACACCCCCTTTTTTTCTCAGGCCTCCAGGCCAGACCTGAGGCTCACTGGCCCTCTCCTATGTTTACAGTTCTGCCTCTGCATGGCTGAGGCCATCCTGCTCTTCTCTCCGGAGCACTCCCTGTTCTTCTTCTGCTCCCGAAAGGCTCAGATCCGGCTCCACTGGGCGGGGCAGACCCTAGCCATCCTCTGTGCAGCCCTGGGCTTGGGCTTCATCATCTCCAGCAAGACCCGCAGTGAGCTGCCCCATCTGGTGTCCTGGCACAGTTGGGTAGGGGCTCTGACACTGCTGGCCACTGGTGGCCAGGCACTGTGTGGGCTCTGCCTCCTCTGTCCCCGGGCAGCCAGGGTTTCGAGAGTGGCTCGCCTCAAGCTCTACCATCTGACATGTGGACTGGTGGTCTACCTGATGGCTACAGTAACGGTGCTCCTGGGCATGTACTCAGTGTGGTTCCAGGCCCAGATCAAAGGTGCAGCCTGGTACCTGTGTCTGGCACTGCCCCTCTATCCAGCCCTGGTGATCATGCACCAGATCTCCAGCTCCTACTTGCCAAGGAAGAAAATGGAAATGTGAGTTCCTCCGAACTCTGAATGTAAAGTGGGACACTTGCCTTGGACTTTAATGGTTCCTTTGGTGACTTTCAAGGGACCCACTTCAGAAGTGGTTGAGTTTTTGTACTTCTTGGTTGGGCCAGGGGCCGCAGAAACCCAAGCTGCTATGTTGAGGGATGACTTAGTGGGCCAAAATGGGGAAATGTACTGGATGCAAGTGTAAGGTGATGGAGAACTTGATCCTGAAGCCTCCACTCTTCCCCCCCACCCCCGACTCAAAAGATGACCGGTAAGGGGATCTTAACTCTTGACTTGGTGTTGTCAGCACCACGCTCTCCAAGTGAGCTAACCGGCCATCCCTATATAGGGATCTGAATCCGTGGCCTTGGCGTTAGCAGCACCACACTCTCCCGAGTGAGCCACGGGCTGGCCCTCTGAAGCCTCCACTCTTGATGGAAGACAGAAGTATTGGGTGGTGGTGGTCATTTCTTGCTGTGTGCCTGATGAAGAGTTGAGTTCCTGTAAGTTATGAATGGCAGCTATCGATATTTGGGTCACTTTTGAGAAAGCAGTGTGATATAGTAGAGAGTCTTGTTTATGGGTTATGGTCCTCTTAGGCTCTGTTGTCTGACCTTAGGTCAGCTCCATATCTCACGACCTCAGTTTCTTCGTCTGTGAAGTGAATGTTTCTAAACAGTCTCTAATTCCCCTCCATCTCGAATATTCAGTGTCTGTGAGGTTGATGTCACAGCACACCCTCCCAGCGCTGGGCCAAGTGGACCACTTAGCAGACTCAGGATGTAATTCTTATAGTCATTTGTCCTTTATTCCCCCTGGGGGAACAGTTCTGCCCTCATGGCCCTTCAGAAATCTGTGCTGATTTGGCCCCTGGACCAGGACACAAGGGGTCAGGCACTATAGAGAGAAGGGGCCCAGGGGAAGGTCTCTTGGACTCTAGACAGTAAAGGCACTAAAGTCACTTTAAAGCTTTTGGAGGAGCAGAAGGGTATTGGCTTAACTAAGCCTATGGCTCCTGGCCGGGCTCCTTATCCCAGCTAAGAACTTCTTGCAGCCCACCTCAGGATGTGGACTTGAGGGCTACAGGACCTGGGTGCACTCCTTCCCCTGACATCCATTGTCAGGGCAAAGTGGTCCTGGGCATCTCATGCTTTGCCTTTTAGGGCTCAGGTTCTTGCCTTAGCACATAGCTTCATGGAGCTATTCTGGAGCTTTTAGAACAAAATAAAGGCCAAGGAAGTGGGGCAGGGCTCTTCTCATCCAAGGGAAAAAAGTCTCCCTGATTCCCCTTCTCCCCTTGTCATCTAAGTTTCCTCAATTGTTGTCCTTGGCCTAAAAGGGGGATGTTTGGTGCCAGCTGGAAAATGAGGGCTGGACTCCCTTCCCTCCAGAGACCCCTCCTTGTTCCAACTCCAGACTGCCCTTGGTGGTGAGGGCTGGAGGCCAGACTGGTTAGCTGTGATCTGGCTCAGTCAAGATGGGATCTCCATAGATCATGGCAAGAACTGATGACAGCCGAGTCGGCAGAGCTGCTGCTGATGCAGGTGGATACAGCTCACTGGAAATTCTGGTAGGCCTGGAGTGTAAGGGCTGGTGCCCCAGGTCCTGGGAGCAGGGGGAGGTGTTCCTAGAGTTTAGTATTTTGGATGTCTCGGACCTTCTAAAGATTCGGGGCCTCCTCTCCAGGTGGCTCAGAAGCAAGGAGGTTGGTGTGACTCAATAGTACAGGAATGCAAGAGCAGAAGTGTCCTCTCAGTGGACCTCACTATGCTCTTCCTGGATGATCT